ACACACACACACACACACACACACACACACACACACACACACACACAGAGCTATCTGTACCTGCTCTTTACTATAGAAAGGAACCCTTCTTTCTTTCTGCCTTCTGCCCTGACATATTTGTCACTCTCAGTCAGAATTATCTCTACTGACAGCCTCTTCTTTTGTCAAGGAGTTTGGAAACACAAAAGGGGGAAGCTGGCTGCTTGTGCTGACAAAGTCAGGGCTCCTGACAGGCTCCAGGGGAGCAGGGAGCAGGCCACAAGCCCTCCTTGCCCCAGAGGCTCATGGAACTGACAGTGCTAACAGAGGCCCTGGCTTGGCTTTCTCTACACGCTGAGGCGGGAGTGTGCCTGGGCTGCATTAGCAGCCTCCATAGCTCTGCAGGTAAATGTAAGGTGCTGGAAGTGCCATCGGCTGTGGGAGGCACAGAAGGCACTCAGTGTGAGGCAGGAGCTTCTGGTTAGAGACACACAGCAGACAGTAGGACTAGAGGAGGGAACTTTACCCTGATAGAGTGAAGAGTCTGCAAGGTAGCGAGGGGTCTCCAGAGCACAGAGGGATGTCAGGCCAGCCCCAACCCGTCTCCCTCAAGGTGCTACCACACCAAACACCCTCCTGCCTCTTCCCCAGCCTAGAATCATTCCTGTCTCCCAGCATCCTTCCTGGTGCCTGGCCTGAACTGCTGCTCCCCATGTCACAGCCTCCTCACTAGAGTCCTGCCCCCAGTCAGGGCCTGTCTTACTCCACTGCACACAGGAGACTAGGGACTTATGGGAAGTCCCATCCCATGCAGGGGCCCAGAAAAGGCTCAGTTCTGTCCCTCATGTACCTAACTCCTCCAGTGAGGAAAAGCAGAGAGAGGCATGCCAAGATCTAGCCAAACTTGATTCTTTTGGCTGCTCTCCCAGGCCAAGGCTGTGACAGAATCAGGTGACAGCAAGCTCACAACTCAGACATCTCTTCTCCCCTCAGGGGCTCCAACTGCACGATCATCCCAACTACACTGCCTCCAGCCCTGGGCAGGCCACCTTCCCAACGACAGCCAAAAGCACTTGGAAATGAACATGCCTAACTTCCTGCTTCCCTCCCTCTCGCAGCCACGGGCTCCTCCTTAGCAGAGCTGTTCCAGGCTCTGTGGCAGCAGCCTCTGGCACACACCTGTCCTCTGCCATGCAACCTGTAACTGCTCTGTACTGTGGAAAAGAACCCTTCTGCCGACATACTCTCAGTACTGCCAGTCACAATTCTCTCTCCTACAGCTGCTGCTTCTGACAAGATGTCTGGAGCACCTGGCTGTCAGGCCCTTCTGTGGAGCCTGGCCAGTAGGTACCCACACGGGCAGCATCAGCTGGGGTCCAGGATGCCCAGCAGGGCTACCATTCAGCTCAGATTCTGCTACAAAGGGTCAGGATGTTCTCTGCTCAGCAATCTGGCAGTCAGCCCTGTGCAGGGGAGCTGTGTTCCCAACACTTCTATGTTTGTATGTTTTCACTTTCACTGGTGTTACCAAACATGTGTAACTGGACACACATGGCTGCATACACACATAAAACACTGACATGTATGTGTCTTCCCACACCTTTTCCTCCATGATAATTCAACTCTACCTCCATCCGATGTTTTTTATTTGAATGCTCAAACCCAATCCCGTACAGAGCCCACAAAGACTGCAGGCGGCCTCCAGCATATCTTCCAGTCTCCTGACAGGTTTTGAGGAGCATCAGCTGGCTACAGCAGGTGCTAGTTATGTACCGCACAGGACTGATGGAGACTGGTAAGCAGAAGTGCCCATGGCATCAGGCACTGGGGAGAGGCCAGTGGTAGCTATCCTCTGTGCCCCACGCTGTGGTGCCATTACAGGTAGTGCCTCACGTAACCATGGCTCTGGCTTCAGACTTCAGTCCTGAGTAGCTCACACACAGCGGCTGCTGGTGCGATTGAGCATGGGCCTGCATCTGGCTGGACCGTGTGGAGGCCCAGCCCAGCAGCCCAGCTCAAGTGCCCGACTAGAAACTGGGCTGCAAACCATGAGCCGTCCTACAGCTTGCTGCCATTCACTTGCTTTTATCTTAGGGACTGGACTCTTCCTAGCACAGAAGCCACACAGATGCCAGGAAGCTGCTCATGCCATCGTCCCTCAAGGGCTCGCGGTCTGCAGTTGGGCCTCGACAAGTTTTCCTTTTTTCTCTGCTGCCAGTCCACAAGCACAGCGCGACCTGAGGGCTTTAGTGTGTGCATCAAAGTCTCAGGTGGCCAAGTTCAAGGTTACTGTCATAGGTTTTAAGGCCAAAGTTGAGACCATTTCTAAATGCTGACCCAGGGAGAGGCAAAGAGAAAGAGCAGGGCTCAGGGACAACCCAGCCAGCTAAGGTAGTGTGCCTTCATGTCCCCAGTCACATCCACCCTCCTTTGATCCACCTTTAAAAAATACCATCACATTTCTATATCCGTCATGTTTTTCTTACTACACAGCAATGACACTGCCCCATGTCACAGGCTTTACTGTCAATCTGTAGTGACACTTAATCCCTCCAGAGTCACATGAGCCCTAAAAGTCTCAAGTGTCCCAAATGCAGGAAATGATTAAGTTTCCATAGGGAAGCCTCTGTCCAGGTGCTAATGCTGTTGGTAAGGGGGGGGGGGGG